TCGGCGGTTGCGGAACATTGCCATGCAGAGGGGCACCGAATAGACTTCGAACAAACAAAGGTGCTGGCTAGGGACAACAGATACTACCAAAGACTGACAAGAGAAGCCATAGAGATCCACCGACATAAAAATAACGTCAACAGAGAGGATGGCTGGGAGCTTAGCAGAACATGGAAGATGGTGGTGAACACGAAGACCTCTTCCCGCCTCACACCGGACGCGACGCAATTAGTTATTAATTAGTTTGTAATTAGCGTTAACTGATTATTAATTAGTTTTTCCGACTTATATATAGTTACCGATTTTTTGATCTCGTCACTTCGAACCAGTTTCTGAAGAAGGTTGCAACATGGCATCCGAAACGTCAAACCTTTTATTAAAAGACGCACGGCAAAACCCGAAAGTTTCTAGTGTTAGTTCTAGTTTTAGTTTAAGGAAATTACGTTTACGTGGTTAAACAAATAAAAAAAAAGATTTAGGTTGTCGTTTCATTTTGGAATTTATCCGCAACAATAGTATTGACCGTAACAAATAAAACTGTTAATACGAGCAAATTAACGCGACACAGAGGCAAACGCAGCATTAGCGAAAATATGCGAACCAATATGGGTTCGATTCCGGCGAACCGAATCAACTGGCGGAATCGCCGGTAAAAAAAAGCAGGCCTCACGGATCGGTCGTACCGAGGGAGGATTTCAGTTATTCGACGAGGGATTTTATATTTGTAAAGCGCTCAATTTCGGCCCGGATTACATTAGGGTGCAGCCCATTAAAACTTGAAATTTATCGGATGCGAATTTAAATTCGAGACAGCTTCCGCTTCACGGCGTACCGCGCGCGCTTCGAAACGGTCCGAAACGACAAAATAATGTTTTGGGGTTTTGCATATATTTTAGAATTTTCGGTTCCGGTTACGTAGGTGTTTTGACTTAAGCATATTTGATGGCTTTTTAAAGTCGAGGTTTTATAATAACTAGTACTTTTTCGAATATGTCCTGTTTAAATCAATATTTTCCACACTAAAAGACGGATGTAAAGACGTAGCGAGAATATCAAGCTGTCCAAAAGATATAACATGGGGCAATAAATACATAGGTATAGAAAGCAAAATCCGAATATACAAGACTTGTGTCCTACACAAAAGCCATAATGAGAACATCAGAAATGAGAACCTTAAAAAGTATAACAAGCATTACAATCTGCGACAGAGTACGAAATGTGGACATAAGAGATATCTGGAACTGCAGGACGTGGTTAGATGGACGAAAGAAATCCAGAAAGAGATTAAAGAAATTATGGCTTTTTTCCATTCATAATTATTTGGTTATTTCTTTCCATCTCAATTTTAATGTAAATGCAACACAGCAATGCAACAAAGAAACACATATTGTTGCATGGTAGCCTTATTGGATATTTCTGATTTAATAACTGGGTAACAAGGAAGAGAAGAGTTAAATAATCAAGATTGAGAGAATAACAGCTTAATTAACTAACTAATATGTTTTTTAAAAATATTTTTACTGACGTTGCTCCTGAAGATGATTAAATGTATTGATCGAAACCGGTAGAGCTGAAAATAAAAAAAAATCCATCTAAAAATACAAACAGTTTTATTGCATTTACATTTTTTCCATTCGTCATATAAATTTTCTTCGTTTCAGATCTTCAGCAAAAATGCGTAAATGTTCTTTGCTACAACACAATACAGCAATAACTCGGACATCTATCATAATATTCTTGAAACAATCTGTTTTTAACATAGTTCTCTTGAATTGCGCCATCTCTTGGCAAGCTTTATAATAACAAAGATATACAGTGCAGTTTCCTAGCAAAACAATTAATGTTCATTATAACATTAATATTAATTGGACCGCGTTATACATCACTTGATTAAGCGACATTTTATTGTTTTTAGAGATTTTCTTAACTTAGAAAAAAAGTTTATGTTTATTGTTTGTTTATGTTTAAAATACCATTTGTTTTAAGCGCCAATCACGTTATACGATTTCAAGTTCGATTTGCATCATACGCCTAAAAACCGACTTAGATACGACACTTCAATACACCAAGAAATATA